ACAGAAGAGGGAAGGAAATCTGCTTGCTACTGATGGCTGTGGATGGGGACAGAAATGATTATGGGAATATTGACTCAGACCAGTGAGAATAAAAATCTCAAAAGGTCAGTGCAATGCCAAGGTCACACACGAGTATCCCACTAGTTACCACTCTGAATACCTGCAGTAAAATCAACCTATGTTACTCACTGAAGCAAGACATTTGGATGTTGAAGTTTACACAGCTTTGTTGAAGAGAAAAATCGATCCAGGACTATTCAGTACAAACACATCTCTGTGAACCAATCTGTGATCCAGATTCCTGTATGCAGAATGAATACTTTCAGAAATTTAATTCATGCGTCTCCTGTCCTGTAGTCCTCCCAGGGCACTCACTCTAGAGTAACAGAACGTTGGCTAGATGGAGTTTGATATGCTCCAGTACAGCTCTTATGTTCCTGCAACACTGATCTGTGTCACTTCAGACCTAGAAAAATATCTCTTCCCCCAAGTGAAAGGGGGAAGCCAAGCTAAATATGACACCGAAGCAGTGTTTTTAGACACACTGGACCTCTCAAAGGTCAGTGGAATATCCATTACCCTGGGAGATATTTCTCACAAAATTACTTCATGACCTCAGATACAGCTCAGTTTTATAACCCCCGAGTGATTTGCTGAAATTTGACACAACTACTTGTAGGGCTGTGTGGAGGAACAGAAGTTTCCTGCATTTTTACAGCTTTCCTGCATTTCCATGACTGTGCCTCCATTTGCTTTTAAAATTCTGCTATGGGATTCAGGAGAGATAAGCCTGAGAAGAGAAGGATGGGGACACAAGGCCTTGGAAGTATGAAGTTGTTGGCTGTGTGAAACTTCTCTATGCCAGGTGGAAACCTGGTGTTGGTCAGACCATGACAAGCAGAACTACTCAGTGTGTGGCAAGAGGCACAGAGCCAGACTTCCCTGGTGGCAAAGCACCTAGGATTTGTAAGTGTGTCCAGAGGAAAAACAAAACAAAACAAAAGTAAAACAGAACAACATGACTAATGGTAGAAATAATCACTCACGCACTGAGTACAGCTGTTATCTCCTGCTGCTTTACTGCGGTGAATCTTCTTTGGTGCCCAAGATATCTGTCCAGAAGGATAAATCAGCATTATTCCTCACATTCCCAGCAGCTGGTCTGTTCCTGAGTGCCTCCTCCTGGGAATCCCAGATGGTCTGTTTGACTCCAGCTGAGATTACAAGTGGCACCCATGGTCTGTAACTTCTGAGTGCTTATTTTCCACAGTAGCTCACTAGTTCTGGCTTGAGTCTGAGGCTGACTTGTCCTCACTGGTCGCAAGTGAGCAAGCTAACTGGGATGTGTGGAAGAGGTTAGACTCGTGGCAGAATGGCAAGAAGCAAGGAAAGGATCAAGTCCACTGATTTTTTTGAAAGTGCATGAGACAGTATCTTGTAACGCAATGTGGCTGTGTCCTGTGAATGTCTGGAGACTGACCTCCAAGCGCTTAGGGTTGAAAGGAAGCAAGAGGGAATGGGCAAAAATCCACTGGGCTAACTGCTGACACGTCACATCTAACTCATTAGTTTTTACCTAAACATAGCTACGTCTGCAAAATGTGGGGGCAGCTTTCTTCTGGATAAGTACTTCTATTGATCAGCACTTTGTCTTTAAAGCTACAGCATTTTTAATAAGGCAGTAGGCATCCTGGCATAGCATTAGCAATTTGCTAAATGGCTAAATGTCATTTGTCTTTTCTCTGCCTGATGGTTCCACCCAGTGTAGCAAATAGAGAAAGTCCCAAGGCTCCTTCGCTTGTACTCTGCCAAGATAGCATGTTAGATGGCTTCCGTGGCTATTTATGACTTACTGAAGACAAGGTTAAACTGCATCTTTCAAGACAAAAGCACTACCCACAGATATCTGCCAGACATGTCAGGGTCCTCATGTGGGACCCTGCCCCTACCCATAACCTCAGGGCCCCATTTTAGTGCAGCCCAGCGACACTGTGGGAGTGCAGGCTTCCACCTCTGCCACAGCTCCTGTGGCATCCTGACAGGAGGTTATAACAGAAGAGAGGTTCCTAGGTGTATAAATGTCTTAAGAAACAAAGTAAACATAGCTCAGACTATTGACTGACCATCCACAAAGCTCAAGTCCTAGTTACTTAGAGCACAAACTAAGAAAGGGTTATCTTAGACAATGATGAAAAGAAGTAGCCCAAGGAATGGTAGAGTCAGGCTGCAATAAAGTTGTGAAAATAATATTTTCTCAGGGGTAAATATCCTGGGAAATCTATTTCTCTCTGGAAATACTCTGGTGGATATTAGAATTCACAACTTAGTGGGAATTACGCTAACTTAAAGAAAATCAGTCCTTATTTTAAAAGCTATGACTATTAAGAAGTAAACAAAGTACTAGGTGGATTATTGATTTTCTAGCACTAGCAAAATTCCAACTAGAGAGAAACAGTGACCGATTCAGCCTTCCATTTGGACCCAGGAACCTTCTTAAAAAACACATAAAATGAAGGCATTCATAGGAACAGATGTTGTAATGTACTTTGTGCCTATATGAAAAGCAAATGCATGCAAGCAGAACAGAGTTAGGTCACTGTTTGTTTAATTGATTTGCTTACAGGAACTGGTATTTTCTTTCCTTGGAATAAAGTCTAATGTGCATCTTAGCTTTCCCTTGCATTACATGAACTTTATTTGGCCTTATTATGTGGGGTCCAACAACTTCCCTGCTAGGTTTGCATATCAAAAGCTGCTTCTGATTCTGGTCATGACCAACATTCTCAAAGAGACATCCATCTGAAATGTCCCTTCTCTCACCAACTCTAGTGGAATGAAAACTTCCTGAGCTGATCTGCCTTCTAGGAGTTAAGCCCTTCTGAAACTTGGCCTCAAATTATTTTTGTTGCTCACTGAGAACTTCCTGCACAACTTACAGAACATCCCTAACCCTGATAGCTAGCTTCCTTGTTAGGTAGCTTCCTTGTTAACACCAAGAAATGCAAAAAGGAAAAAGAACTATGAGGGAAGTCACTCTTAAACAATATATTGTTTATCACTCTTGAGGCTTCTTTTTTTTTTTTAATTTGTATTTGCTGCTCTTTTCTATCATGTTCACATCCTGCGTGGTTATTTATAACCATTTGCTAGATATCCACGTGGTTCTGTCCTGTACAAACTTTCTAGTCATATGGGTAAACAAGTGAAATGAATGGAGACCATCTCTTCATGAAAGTTCGAAGTTCAAGCAAATATCAATAAGCAAATTTTTCTAACATAAAAAGGCTTTGTCAGCGTGGGGAAGAAAGGAAGGCTGCTGTGGAAGTCATCAATTTCTTGATGTACTTATACAGCAGACTTTGAAAAGAATCTCTGAACTGCATCAAACTCATCTCAGGTTTCCTGGAACCCTCAACACGACGTTTCCTACTCTTCATTTGTGATTTGGTTTGGAGGTTTATTTTGCTTTTCGTTTTCCTCTGAAAGGCAAAACTTCTCACAAACTAGAAATCCAAGGTTTCAAGCTGACAACCAGTGCTGTGACAGCCAAGATGCCAAATCAGATTACATAGTGCAGTATTTTACAGAAGATCACATCAGGATAGAAGCCATGTTTTGAAGTTGCATCTTCAAAACCTTTACAGGTATGGCTGAGCAGTTCTGATAAATTCAGGAATGCAGCTCCTGAGGGTGCTGGCAGAAATGTGATATGAAAGATGAAATTGTTGCTAGTGTAAAAATTTTATTCTTGACTTGAGCACAGGCTCCTCTACAACACAGTGGCTCTTTTTGCCTGAAGTGGTGTTTTAAACTCAGACCACCCACCCTCACGGTAAGAGCTAAGGATTCACAAATTTAAAAGCGCAATCACATAGGAAGGATAGCACAGACTGAAAACTCTTGAAATGGTGAGACATTTTTCAGTGAAGTAAGCCAGGAAAACAACATGACAAGGCAAAAACAACACAACTGCAACAACAGTTTTAAGAATCTGCTTCTACTTTCCAGAGAATACTTACATGAGGAGTCCTGCACAGTACTGACTTTTCATTCAGTAAATACTTTGTGTTCTCCTCGTGACAGCTGAAGCTGATCTACACAGAAAATGTCTAATTCTGTACTTCACCCAAATTTCCTCTATGCTAACTGACAGATTTTTCCAATGAAAGTTTTGGCCTGAAGTCTCATTATGTTCTAAAACTGTAGATCCCATTAAAAACACATGGCCAAGCAGACTCTTGAACCTGCTCTTCAAAATACAAGATTACTACAGTGGCAGAAGCACCGTTCTTGTTCCATGAATGCACTGGAAATAAGATCCAGGCTTATACAAAGTGAATATGATGTTGAAGGCAATTAAGCATTACCTTATAAATAAAAGCAGTTCTTGGGCATTCTGTTTCTCAGTTCCTCATTTAAGAAAGTAACATGGAAGAAAGCGTGTCTCATCAATACACAATAATATATATAACTGCTTGACTGGAAAGAATAATGACTATCACGGGCAGAACTGCTCCTACGACACACTGAAGGAATGGAATTAGTTGGCCTTGCCTCCCTAGAAATTTTGATTATAGAGATGATATATATTAAATCCTCCATGATTTACACATTCTGATTGGAATGACACAGATGCAGGAAGATACAGATGCAAAGTAGTTATAAGTCCAGGATTGGTTTACAAGCTGTATCAGGATTTCAGCCTTCAGTGAAATCTGCAGGATCTTCATTAACTTTACTGTGACTAAAATAATACCAAAGCATTACTCTTTGGTCTCTTACTACCTAAAAAATCAGTTATCCCAAAAGTCCTACATGCCTGGAGTTTGCCCTTACTACCCCAGGAATTAAATTGGATTGGAGATGTCAAATTAATGGAGATATTTGAACTGATCTTCCTCTCACTCCTGTATTTTCACAACTTTACTGCAGTGTTTTAATACAGCAGAACACAAAGTTTTTTGTTTTTGTGAGGCTATGTACTGAATCACAAAGACATAGTAATTTAATTTGTTTTATTGTATTGCACAAGATATCTATGCAATCCATGTAGATACTGTATTAAAGGATCCACGTTTCCCAAAACATTGCCTGTTGCAGCACACATCACAAGCATTGTGAATAACCAGTGCCTTCTTGAAAAACCAAAGCTTTTGGTTGCAAGTTTAAGCATGTGTGGCAATAAATGAAGAAAAAAAGCAAGGAGTATCAATACATATTTGTTTTCAAACACACAAATATACAATTTTCAGAAGAGCACCAATAATGTCAAGCAATTATTTTGATGAGATACTGTATGTGTAGGCTCCACAATAAAAAGCCAAGATACACACAAAAATATATTTCAACTTCTAAAATAATTTAACCATCATATTTTGCATGTGTCACCTGTTTACAACACATCATTTCATATACAACATCAGGCCCAAAGCCTCAAACTGTGAAAATTCGTGCATACTCAGAACAGTTGACACTCTGAAGCTGAAAAAGCCTTCAACTGTTTACATCTGGTTACAGAGCAGTATAAGACTGCAGAAATAGTTACTGTGAAGATATAACAGAAATGGTAGTACGGAAAAATGAAGAAGAACACAACCAAGACTCCAAGCACAAGGTTTCTGAAAGAGGCCTACATGTAAAGTGATGTTGCAATAATTTATAACAGTGAATAATTAATACCAATCTCCTTTCTGACACTTACAGAGTCTCATACAGAGTCTCATATGTTCAGAAGCCCATGGAAGTGAACTAACCAAATGTCACGATCAGTATCATCCTCAAATTCTGTTTCTGAAGTTTCTGATCATTATACTGGTACTTAAAAACATTTCATACTTGCTGAAAACTGTTATTAAAATTTACCTTCTTGCTATGAGAATTTAGTGTCATAAAAATTATGAAAAACAATAGGTAAAAAAATAGTACTTTATGAATATTTTTAGAAAACCCGTCAAACAGCTGCAAATACAGCTGATTTTTAAGTGTCTCTTCTCTTGAACTGCGTTTGTTTATTTTTATTTAAGTGAATCACTTATAAGAAAGCAAGGAGTACCAGCTCTAAGATTTATTCTTGTCCATTACATTGAGGACCTCATCCAAAAGTGAAGGTCCCAAGTCAAGTTGTAATGAGAGAAGAGAGCCTGCAAGATCTGAAAGGGATTCTTCTGACTTTGTCTTGGTTAGTTCACATGGAAGTCGGCTATCTTCAAGCAAATCAACTGTTTGCCAATCAGTGCATCGTTCAGAAAAGCTGGATGAGTTACTGTCTCTACCATTAATAAAATGCGATGAAGAACCATTTTGTTCCCATACATCATCTTTGTATGTTTCTCCATTCCCCATCTGTTTACTTTTCTCCTGCAACTTCTCCTCAATTACTGGCTCACAGCTAAGCCGTGGGTTTCTTGATGACCTGACGGATTCTTGCTTTGAATTAAACGTCACTGGTGACAATAAAGGTAACATAAGAGCTTGAGAACCCCCAATGGCAGGAAGGGAAATAGCATTTTTGAGCACTGGTGATGGAGTTTCTGTAAACATGGATTCAGAAGTGCTGTTTGCCCTTAAGAATTCACTGTGGCCACCAGATTGGCTAACTCTAGTTTCTCCTTCATTTCCAGGCAACAATTCGTAGTTTCCCTGCAAAAAGGAGATGTCTCCAAAAACATCATGTTGTCCCTCTTTTCCAATATGTATGGTGTGACGAAAATCTCCAAGTGGTGGACTGATCATATCAGGAGACAAGATATCCCTTAGTTTGAATTTCTTCCCTTTCTTATTGTTAGCGGCTTTCAAGTAGATGGGTGTCTTGGCTGGCATCTTGCTTCTAGATAGAGGGGGAGTTGTGTTAAAAAAAAAAAATAAAGGAGAAGTCCCTTACAAAGCCAGTTCTTCTCGGGAGACCTTCAGTATGAGCTATGTTACATCATCATCTTGTACCAATCTTGCACATCAAGTCCCCTTCTTCTATGGTAGGGAACTTCAGGGTATGTGAATGTCTCCCGTTGGAGGATTCTGCAAGATGGAGCACAAGTTTCAAGCCAGTTAGCAACCAAACATCCAACTTCAAGAACTTGAGAAGACCTGCATGGGATACAAAATCAGGTTATCATTAATTTTTCATGGTTCATTCAGTCCTGTTTTCACACACACAAAAAAAAATTAGCAATGGTACTGACAGTTCCAGTCTGCAGATTAACATTATGATGTTTCTTCCCTTCATTAGGCAGGATAAAAGGGTTTAAGATTAACAACATCTAGCTAACCTTTCTCTGACTTTATAACTTGTTTTGAAGTCAGAGTTTCTTAGACACGGTTGCTGAGCACAGTCCATTTGGTAAACATCACTATCTGAATCCTTCTTCTCATTCTGACATTCAAAATGCTGGTCTTGAAGTGCAAATGCAGAAACTGATCTGTAACATTCAACAACATAAAGCTTTTGGTAGATGCAGGAAGACTAAAAAGTCACTCAAGCAATTTTATTTTTTTTTAGTGGGAGTAGATCACCTTGGATTTGAGAACTTTTGATATCGTCATTTATAAATTGGAACAAACTGTCACAAATAGCTTTTCTGATAAATATGCTAATGTAAAAGGATAATTATAGACATCTGATGAAAGTACTGGTCCACATCCTCAGTTACAAATATCTGAACATGTTTTAGAAGGGATTGATTCTTGTGACCATAGTCTTTAGACTGCAGGAATTCTACATAGCAATTAGTTTTAGACTGTAGCTCATGAGCTATGTAGGCCATGAAGGTATGGTGACTCAGAACTGTTCTGTACATCAAATCATTTTAAAACAAAGTTTTCCTACTAGAATCTTGTCTCTGACAAGTCTGATAAAGCTGTCCACAAGGGTTAACAGGCTATTGGGTCAATTGGTTATGGAAAAAAATACTCTTTACTAATGCTTTAATTGTGTGATTCTTTGCTCAGGAATCAATAAAAAAGATACTATAAGAATCTCAGAATAAAAGCATTTTTATCCTGGGCATCTTTGTACTCTTCCCAATTCAATCCAGAAAGCAGAGCATTACAGGCCATTCCTCACTAAAAGTCCCAGCCCCAAATCTCTTACTATCCATTTCCATTCTAATTCTGTAAAGTAGCTTGCAGTTTTTTCCACAGAAATGCGTCTCTCTCCCTGTGCAATATGTGAAGAGAAGCTACCTATATTTTTCTTCATTTCATACATGCCCCAGCAGAGATATTCCTTCATCAAATTAAGTCCAGCAAGAATCATCAGTTCGAAAGCTTTGTACTGGCAATAAAGACAGATGGCCAAGAAGTATTTAAGCATTTTCACAAATCCTCTAACCTGAGTAATTAGTTCCTTCAGTTGGGTGCTTAACTCTGCATCACAAGGGGAGCTGGGAATCTTGCCAAGTTAGCATTTTGGTTTTTGATTTCCACAAAATATCTACTGCACTTCAGATAGGGCTGAAAATCACTTCACACAGAAGTACAACAGATATATACAGAAAATACTGTCATACAAAATAAGCCAAATGTTCTATGAATGCAGAGAACATTTGATACTTTTAAGCTCAATTTTGAAATGCTTGCAATCCTGCACAGCTTCCCTCTAAACAAAAAAATGCTAATTCATTAGGATCTACAGAATATCATGGGATTCCAATTACATACCAAAACTCCATCTACTTAACTCCCTTTTGCATCTTACAGTCTATACAGTCCTAAATGAGATCTCTGCTTGTGCCATGCATCGTAGAACAGAACTGATCACTCAAATCAGCTACCTTTCAGATTTTAAAAAATGAAATAAAATAATAAAATAAAATCACCACACTGTTTCATCCCTCACCTTACCTTGGTTATCACTCTACCCTTGCAGCCAATTTAGGAACACAACATCCTCAACTCTACAGAGATTGTATGTGGTTGAAAGTGAAGCCTAGTAGTTACTAGTTTCAAAGTGAAAGACCAATTCTATATTTTATTCAAATTACAGTATAGAGGAAAAAAATGCAAACACACAAAAACCTGAAATAGAGCAAACTTTTGGTCATTCAGATAGCAGTTCTGGACTATAGTCCAGATAGTAAGTTCTTGCACTATCAGAAAATCCAGTAAGGGGCAGTGTAAAACCACAGTACCTCAGACGATGCTGCAAGAGATTTCAGTGCCAGGAATTATAATCCCTCTTTACAGAGCAGCCTCTGCTCTTGGGAAGGCCTTGCCTTCCACATTGCGAATGAAGAGAGCATTAAAAACTGTACACTTAATGCAAGCAGCATTTGCTCTGCTAAAAACAAAAGCTACCTTTGTTGCAAATTTCATGAGTCATCCCATTGAAAATCCTGAGATTACAATTTGTAGACAAAAGATAATGGCTCTGTATTAAACAGAGGGCCTGTTTTTCAACATACAGTATAACCTAGACATCAGAGAACCATAGAACGGCTTGGGTTGGAAGGGATCTCAAGGACCATCAAGTTCCAACCCCCCTGCCACAGGCAGGATTGCCAACTGCTAGATCAAGTACTAGATTAGGCTGCCCAGGGCCCCATCCAACCTGGTCTTGAACACCTCCAGGGATGGGGCATCCACAATCTCTCTGGACAACCTATACCAGCACCTCACCACCCATTCACAGGAGAGGCGCTCCAGCCCTTTGATCTCCATGGCCTCCTCTGGACCCTCTCCAAAGCCTCGACATCCCTTGTGTATGGGAGCGGACACAGTACTCCAGATACGGCCTCAACAAGGCAAAGTAGAGGGAGACAATCACCTCCCTCACACTGCTGCCCACTCCTCTTCTGACACATCCCAGGCTACAATTGGCCTTCTGGGCTGCAAGAACACATTACTGGCTCATGCTAAGCTTTTCATCAACTAAGACCCCTAAATCCTTCTCAGCAGGGCTTCTCCCAAGGAGTTCGTCTCCCAGCCTTTATACACATCTGGGATTACTTCCACCCAAGTGAAAAACCTTGCACTTTGCTTTGTTGAACTCATTAGGTTAACAAGGGCCCGCTTTTTGAGTTTATCAAGGTCCCTCCAGATGGCATCCCTTCCTTCTGCTGTATCAACTACACCACTCAGTTTGGTGCCATCAACAAACTTGCTGAGGGTGCATTCGATCCCATCATCTCTGTCATTGATAAAGACAAAGAGTACTGGTCCCAGGACAGACCCCTGAAGGACACCAACTGTCACTGGCCTCCTCCTGGGCATTGGTGAAGCTGTGCTGGCTGTTTTAGAAGAGCCTTTTTTTGATAGATTTCATCTCAGTAACTAAGTGACCACTTAACCAAACTGAAAAGCAGAATGAGAAGCTATCAGAAAACCAAATGCCTAACTAAAAATCTACAGCCTTAGGACTGCCAGCCCACAGTAGAAGACTTCGTTTAGGAGAATAATCTGAGAGGATTTTTCTACCAGTTTAGGAGATCTCTAGATTTCCTTCTTTGAACAAGATCTGAGCATGAGCTAAGACAGAAATTTCAGCCCAGTGAAAATTAGAGTTTTATTTTGGCTGTAACTCATTTGGCTGTAGCTCATTCTCATTCCTATCACTTCACACTCTCATATAAGTGTTTTGCTTGGTAACTAAGGCCAATAGTGTCAGAGGCACTTCTCAAATTGCCTGGTGAACCTTCTGTCCACTCAGCAACTACCTTACCCACAGCCTGAAGTTTTCAATGGATGCCTCAGTCTATCCCACAGGCTATCAGTAACTATCTCAATATCTAAGCTTTAAACCAGAGACAAATTAGGGTCCTTGTGCAAAAATTTATTTGTGCACAAATCCCAAGAGACCTAGGTCTTTGGGCATGGTCCTAGGTGAATAAATGATAGAAATAAAATCCTGTTTCCACAGAGCAGGCCAAGAAGCAAGGTTTTCTGGGAAGCCTGTGGGCTTTCTTTAGGTCAGTCCCTATCAAGAATTCTGCCTTATGCATCATTGGCTAAAATCATTCAAAATTAACAGGAATCCATTTCCAAAACATCATTAAAAAAACCAGGGAATTATCACACAGAGCAAGTCACTAGGAGAAAAAAAAAGACAATATGTGCATTATTTACATAACCAAATGAAAAGACAATGATACAGCAAAAGACAGAGATAAGCTATGCAGTAAGTTGGTGAAACTTTTCTATCTAATGAAATATCTGCAAGCACAGCCCTATAAGGCTTTAGAGGTTCATTCTGGAATTTAGCTACCAGTAGCTCTCACCAGCACAAACTGTTGAAACCCGCCTTGTCCATGCTGATACTTCCAATATGCCTGAAACTACATCAGTACAAACAATGTTATTTTAATAGAGGCTTGAAGTCATGCAGTCGTTGTGAGTAAAACTAACTAGCACTACGAATAACTAAGTCTACAGATACAAGAAAATCAGCAGATCATGCACAAGAGAGCTTACCTCTCACATTCCTGTGGATGTAGGTGTCTATCAACTGGCAGCCTCTGCAAATGAGGCCACTAGTCCATCTACTTCTACATCAATTCATCAGTGAGCCTTTGCTTATACAGCCACCACTTTCTGAGTAAGCATAACCAAATCAGGCAGTAACACTTCCTCTACAGATTGTTCATCTAAGTTTACTTGGTTTCTAGGAGGCCCAGCCTCTGAATTCATCTGTATTAAAATCAACCATCCTGATTGGATTAAAAGCCCTTACCCTTTTGTTGCTCCCTTCTTCAAAGAACTTGCACCCTTCTGATTAAAGCTACAGATTTAATTAGTCCATAAAAACAATCATGCTAATCAGACTTCAGCACAACTAATCTTCTCCAACTGTATTCACCCTAGTTTCCTATTTTATCTCATTTTCACATATGCCTTTTAGAAAAGGAAGGGCAAACACACACACAAAACCCACTAAAAACAAAACAACAAACGAAGAAGAACAATAAACAGAAAAATCCCCGTTCCTCCCAAACTTACAGGAACACAAGTCAAGAGGGACTCTACTATACACTTCATTCCTGTCTCCATTTTCCTTCAAAGGTCTAAGTGGCCTGCTAATCCCTGATGTTCATTCTCTTTCCACTTAAAAGTCCCTACATGCGCAGACCGCCCACAGTAATTCACTCTGCATAGGCTAGTCTCCAGGGAAAAGGCATCAATTTGTAACCTAAACACTGTTTTTGTGTTTGTTTTTTAATACATATTCCGCAACTCCTTTAATCTTTCTTTTACACTTAGTTTTATACAACACAAACATCTCAATCTTCCAACACAAGACATGCTTTCTGGAACTAAGATCACTTCCCAACAATCTCTTTTTCTGGTCCTCCTCCCTCTCATTCATATCTTTCTTTAAATATGCCCCAAAGTAGACAATATTCAAACTGAGATCTCATCTTCTCTCTCAACAGCGTATCTGCATTTTTCTTTTAGTATCACAACATAGTTGGCTTATGTTTAGTTTGTGGTCTACTAAAGACTATCCTCTTTAGTGAAGAACAGTTGCCTAGCCAGTTATTCTACATCTTCTTCATGACTACTGCCTCCGCAGCAAAGCCTTAAAACTCACTGCATCGCATTCTATTAATTGCAAACACTTTAAGTTGTGAGGATAATTTTAAATTTTAATCTGGGCCTCTTCACTACGTGGGTTTATCAGCACCTACAGATATAATAAGCATACATTTGAATCATTCATAAAAACATCATGTTGCAACAGAGATAACTACAGCCCTAGAATTCCTCCTGCTATGTCTTTCCAGACTAATAGAGGTTAAAAACTCCAAGTTGCTACTACTTGAAGTAGTTTGAATCTTGAAACAACTTTCTGCTTGGAGGTAACTAATAGGAGTGAGTAAGGAAACATGAATATACTCCATAATATAGATACATTATTGAATGACAAGAAAAGTCTGGAAAACATCAGCTATACATAACACAAACTGAGGAGAAATAAAATAATAAATAAAAAGCAGAGGACTGTCAGCCATATTTCCTTTTGACTTTCTCAAGATAAGAAAATCATCTGAGGATACCTTTTCATTTCCCTTGCTATAAACACTTTTTCTCATATGAATTGTATGGATAAATAATACACTAGCAATGAGCATTCCTGAAGGGGTGTTAGTTGTCCCTTAACGTAAGCACAGACAGGGACAGACTGAATACAGTGCCTTTTCCTCCAGGTATCTTCCATTTGTCTAGCACACCCCAGCCACAAAAGTGCTTATGAATGAAAAGAACCCAAATTCCTGAAATTATTTTTGGTTGTTGACTGCCTTAAATCTTGACAACCTTTCCCTGCATAATATCTTGTCAAATGGATCAAGCTAGAGTAAATCATATTAACAAAGAAATACCTCCAACTATAAACCATTAAAGTACGTGTGCATTATACTGAAACGAAGCCAACCTAATTATAAATAATTGAAGGATAAAATTAACTGTGAAAACAAACAGCTGTACCAGCACAGCTAGAAGGGGCTGCAGAAGTCACCCAATTTGGGGCTGCTCTCTAATTTGAGCAACTGGCCCCAGACTCCAGTTATTATTTTGTTCTATATCAGCCTGTGAGATTACAAAGGCCTTTTATCAACCAGCAACCTTCACCCCTGTTAAGGTACTTGAATATTAACCAACTCATTTCTCAGTAGTCTTTTTTGATCGAAGTGAACAGGGGGAATTCCTCATGTGGTGATGGTGGGGGAGTAATTTTAGGCCTTCAAATATTGCTTTCTCTCCTTTGAACCCTCTCCAATTTTCCAACAGCCTTTTCAGAGCAGATCAAAATTAGTGACAACGTTCTCATGCAGCATACACTCCCTCGCAGCACACACAAAGAAATAAAATCACTTCTTCCTTTCCATCATTTCTCCTCATTTATAAACAAGATCAAATTTCTGTGTCTATCTTCACCATCTTACAACAGGAATTTTCCAGTATTTACAAGCTCTTTGATAGCAGTACTGCACAACAAACCCTTTAAGATTTCTTCTGCTGATATAACAAAAAACAGTTCTCCAAGCAGAATGAATTTTATTACCAAAGTTAGCAATTTGTTACCAGAGTCGTTTGTAGCTCCTGTGTGAGTTACCCCATCCATTTTTTTAAGGATGGAGATAAGCATATATTCATCTAATCAACAAATCTGGCCAGCACAGCCAATGGTAGTGCTCATACTATGCCATTCATCCAGTAAGATTCTATTCTTTAGGGGGAAAAAAAAGGCTTTCCAAGCTATTGTTCTCCAGAAAGTAAGCTGGATTTATGTTCTTCAGCATAAAATGCAAGGCCATAACTCAGAAAGAGAAAACATTCTATCTGAATGTACTCAATCGCCTTCTTCATCAATACACATCCTTAGTCTCCATGATCTGCACATTTGAACTGCAATAATTTTATTTGCAGACTGCTCAAGAAAACACCATAAACCCCAGTGCTGTATAAGACTGTTGGATGATTTTAAATGAAATACATTCCTTTCTGA